TGTATGCGTTCGTTCTCTCTCTCTCGAGTGCATTCCAGAAGGAAACAGACGACGATTCGATTAGGAAAGGAAACAGACGAAAAGAAAATAGCGATGAGTGAATCGCTCAGCTATGCCGACGGGATAATAACGCGAGTTCGGCGAAAATTACCGTGCAGGCCGAGGCGTACCCGACGCGGACCGCGCTCGATCGCCACGTAACTCTAAATGGGGTGGGAGGGGGGGGGGCTTTTGTATGTACACGCATGCATATGCGCGAGAAGATTGTCCCGCGCGAGTGTGAGAATGACATAACCGAGGGACGTAATAACGCAGCGATAAATGGCGTTTTGTTACGAGCGCGCGCGGGTCGCGCTCTCGTCTCGATCGCTCGTGGGATCATCGATAATGACGATCGATGATCTACGGTGATCGATAGCGATGTCAGGAGCGCAGGAGACGCGAGGAGGTCGGCGCCGCGCCGCGTCCGACGCGAGCCGGCGAAAGGCTCATTCATATCGGCGGTAGAGGGAAGAGGTGGAGGAGGAAGGGAAGGAGAAGGCAGAGGGGGAGGGGAGGGGCAAAAAAAGAGGAGGAGGGGAGGGGAAAAAAAGAGAGGGGACGCGCGCACGGCGGCGCGGCGCGCAGCGTGAAATTAACTTAATCCATTAATGAGCGAATCAAACGGGCACCGATGAGGATCATTTCGAAGTTCCCGTAATCCCGCTTTCCAAAGAAGAATTATTTGCGACGGATGAGTCTCTTATATCTCTTCTCGTTCTATAGACGCTGCAGATCCACGTGAAAAGTGTCTCATCCGTGTAAAAATAACACGCTATAATACTACATAAAAATATGAATTTACACATTTAAATGTGTTATTTTTACGCGGACGAGGCCATGGGCGTACTCAGAATTTCGGTCGGCGCGGCGCGGGGGGGGGGGGGATGCAAAATTTTATTTTCGCACACAAAACTTATTGAAATACTTATATTAAGTCCTCGAGGACCTTCAACGAATTTTGTGAATACTTTATCTTTCGGCTTCTTCCTTTTCGCCAAAAACATAATTTTCATAATTTAATTGTTCTCTCCTTGCCAAAATTTTGGGAGAGGGGAGCGCTTGTCTCTCTTCCTGGTTTCCTCTTGCATGTGCAAAAAATATCTCATAGATGAGGTACTTTTTACGCACTTGGATTTGCAATGCAGAAATGACGCGCACTAAACAGATGCGTGCAGGCGTTGCGGTTTTGAAATTTTACGAATTTCGCTCTGCGTACAATCGTACATCGATCATTTAACACTTTTCCCCTAGGGCGGAATCGTGAAAAGTAGTGGCAAACTTTACAATTGAATTTAATGGAGAAATTTTTCACTTTTCACGTTTCCGCCCTAGGAATAAAAGTTACATGATTGATATATATTACTGATAAAGATTCGAAGAAGTCCACCGGGCGAACGACAATCGCGCACTTTTTGCGTTATGCAATTCGCGTTGTGCAACACGCGGCGAAGTTTAATACGTTAAATGTATAAATAACGCTAACCGTGTGTACAATATCATTGCCAACATATTACGAGGTGTGCGTTGAATTCACGATCGCGACGCACTTCGTCGCAAGTCGCGAGATTATGAGGATCACATATGTACATACCTACACACCTGTTCCGAAAAATCAATTTTCTCGAAAGAGGGAAAAACGAGAGATAAAGCCATACGTATAAAAAATAAACGTTCCTATTTACTTGTTCGACTTGCTGCCTTATGAAGATAAAAAATAAATCGTAATAAAAAAATATTCCTAAACTTTCTAATTTTACAAATTGGGTAATGGGCAAATGAGCCAAGACGCTAATAAATAATAATAAATTTCTCATAAAATAAAAATTAATATTCCTTCCTAATTTGTATAGTTTTTTTTTATCAGAGAAGTGATGACTTCTTCTGCATATATCCATTAATATTATATTTGGCACAGTTTTAACTGCTTCCGAATTATTAGAATAAGCCTAGCGGAGATACTCTCGGTAGTTTGCTTTCCGAGAGGTAATCGATTAAAAATCTGATATTATTCTGGGTGAATTTTTTATGCCGCGATCACCATATAAAAAAAATTAATATTAATATTGATAAATATTCCTGATCTCTTTTTTATTATTCTCCTACACTTTCTCGCTCTGAACCATCGATAACGAATTGCGCTATATACAGGATGAGTTTGTATTTGAAATATCTTTTTCACGCATTAGGCCAATGTCTATACAGCCTATGTCGAAACTAAGGTGACATACTACTAGGCTTGGTTTCCTGAGTCTTTCAACAGATAAGACAGTTTCAGGTCGGGGACCTCCTTCATTTCTGGAGAAGGACGAGTCTCGATTGATTTGAAGCTGATTTCTCCGAGGAAGACACGGTCGACTATGTCAAGCTGCAGTTTTCTCCGAGAAGACATCTGAACTAAGTATCAGTGTCTTCGGACAAGAATTGTTTTCCTAGATTTATTATTGTTATTATTATCTTAAATATCTCTACTGCTTTTAAAGGTATACGCGAGAGCTCGACAGTACGAAATTTTCAAGGACCCTTCGTGCATCCCACTCGTCCCAAAGAATTTTCATCTACTTATTTCGAAGAAAAGAGGTACTTCAAGCACGAACGTTAAGTGACGCGCCATTGTAAGAGTTTCGCTTTCCTTGTGAGTCAAGATAAAGGATAGCTTAAAGGGAAGCCCTGCACGGAAAGAGTCATCCGTGGAGCACGCACACGCGTACATCAGCGGCGCGCGGGCAATTCGCTTTACGTAATGAGACATACGCTTTTCTCTTGTCTTCTATCGGCCCGCCGCTATACATAAACCGAATCACCTGTTCCGCATTGTCAACGCGCCAATTAGCATACCTCGCGCGATCGCACAACGCGTGCGTTATCGTTTCCCGGAAGTCCCGGAACATTATCGATCGACAGCATTCCGTCAGGGTCTCTCGGTCGAGTGTGGGCGGGCTCCTTGCGAATTTCTTCTTTCGCGACCGAGTTTCGCGAGCGAGAGTCGCGCCTCTCGATTTCAATTTCAATTTTCAATCCAAATTCCTTTCAGGGATGGTTCGACATAGGAATATTGTAAACGGACGCGGGAATTTTTACGGACGCCGGACGTCCAGAATTCGAACGACGGCCGGGGACTTGCGGAGCTCCCCGTCAAAGACATCTCTCGTCGTTAAGGGACTCCCGGTCGGGCTATATAGGACACACGCATACATACGCGCAAAACGCGCAGAGGAGGGTCGGAAATGCGCTGCTTCCCGAGTAAAGCCGCGAGATCGATATTATAGGGGTGGCCTTACCCCTCGATATGTGTGCCGTCGAAAAACTCGTTTCGGGAGGGTCCAGGCTAAGCGCGCGCGACGACGCTACACTCTCGGGCTTCTCCGACCTATTCACGGCGAAACGACGATAAGCGATAAAGGCGCCCTTTCGGCTCGCAGGATATTGAAGCTAAAGGGTGTCCGGAAAGTGTCGTCCACGACCAATATATACGTATAATAACGCTCGTTCTCCGATCGCGGGGAGGGTTGCTCGGGCGTTCCGTAACGTCGGGTCGGAAAATTTAATCTCTCCTCGATTCCTACACTTAATATAGAAGAGTCTCTTTCCCTCTCGATAAGATCGATAACAACCGCGTGACCTGTCTAGAAATGACGACGATCGAAGATAAAGGACGCTTTCGGTCGACTGGAAGAATTCAAAAGCCGAAGAATGCACGGAAGGTCTCATGCGTGTAATATAAACGAGCGTTGTTTATCCCCCCTCCCCCTTCCCCTCTCTCGTGGCGATATTCTTGGCGTGATATCAAATACTGGAGAAATTCGCTCGTCTTTTCCCTCGCGTCGTTTCCGCCGGCAATAACAAACTCCGAACAATACAAAGATAGCTTCTCTCACGAGCAATCTGATCGGGTAATCTTTTTAGAAATGACGACTGGCGATGGAAATGTTCGAGTGGCGAGAGAGATATCGCGGCTCGTCCGTCACCGCGTGATCGACACGATCTTAATCTTCGATCGACGCGTATCAATATTTGCTTGCAGACGTTTACCCGGGGAAAAGAGCTCCGATCGAACTGAGAGACATCGTTCGTTTTTTTTTCTCCGCTTTACGAAATCTGAAAATACATCGCGACGACCGAGAATAAACCGGCAAATCGGAGAAAAAGTGCGCACGTGGATCGACGCACGTTAATACGGCGGAATCCTCGCGGTAATTCCGTGCGACCGAAGACGATCGTCGCGAGAAGGAGAATTGGGACGCGGGGCGCTATAAATATATATAAAGAAATTCGGCGCAGCATTTCGTCGCGACGCGCGCCCGCCGATTTGTTCGTCGCGAATTTAAATTTCGCGCGTGAGGAAGACGCGCGGGGCCGACACGCGAACGACGTGTCTATTAATATTTCAGCATCCACATCTTCGTCGATATACGCTTACGAAGTTTGTGTACATCGACGAAGTTTGTACATCTCACTTTACGAGGAGAAAGTCCTAATATCTTGCTTCCCACGATTCCCGTTTTTCTTTTCCTATACATATATATACACATATCCCATCGTTTTGCGAACCGTGAAGACGTGAATAATGTTGCGCGCCGGGGTATCCCGGTGGGAAGAGGAGATGTTAAACGACGCAAGAATTCTCTCGGTTCTCCCTTCGCTATTAAGCACTTCGACGTGATCGACTGTTCGCGCCGGCGAGGACGAGAGAGGGCGGCGGGGGAGGAGAATAAAAAGGTCGGGCGAGGAGGTTGCATGACGCCGGCGTGGCCGCGGCATTCCGCGGCACATACCGCGCCGGATCCGCGCGATTGCAGTGAATTCCAAGCGGGCAAGCCGCAGCCGGAGGCTGCGATAGGCGTGCGTGCGCGCGGAGAAGGGGTGCGTCGCGTTATACGAGCGGCGACGAAGCGCGCGAGCTGTGAACGATACATACGCTCGATACTCCGCTCCATGTGTGCTGCTGCAGGAGTACTCACCCTCGGGAAGTGCGTGAAGGGCCGGTTGAAGGAGTCACCCCTGGTGGGCCTGCTGCCGTAATCGAAGAACCGGTCGCCGCCGCCGCCGCCGCCGCCGCCGCCGTCGTTGTTGTTGTCCTCGTTGAAACGCTGCTTCATCTCCCGCAGCAGCTCGTCGTCGGACATGCCGCGCAGGCGGTCCGCGAATCTCGGCGAGTCGCGAAAGTTAAACGACATCGTCGACGCGGGGGCTCGATCGGGGGCTGGCTGAGAGAGATCCGTCCAGGGCGACGCGACGCGACGCGACGTACGACGTCACGCACCCGTTCTCGTCGATCACGCGCGCGACGATACGTACCGCGGGTGGTTCGCGATTACACGAGACTGCTGCAGTTTCCTTCGTACAGTTTTTCCTCTCTCTCTCTCTCTCTCGTGCTCTTTCGCGTCGCGAAACTCTTCTAACACCGTCTATATCGCGATCACACTACCGCGCGAAGGTTCGCGCGTTACTGGCGGAGCGCGCCGCGCCGGCAATGGCATTTGAAAGATGAAAGGGCAAGCTCGCGCGCGCATGCGCGCTCGCGGCGCGAGACTCGGCACGCATGGGCCCCGCGGAGAAGGGCGCGAATTCAAGATGCGCTCGCGTAGACATTCGCGCATGATTTGAGAAATCGTCATATTGCCAGCTTAAGTTTGAAACGAATTCAAAACAGGTGCCCCTCAAAATCGGATCTTTATCTCGAGTCCTGACATCTCACACTGTACGAGATTTTTTTCAGTGGAAAAATGTTATTCATGTGATAGAGAGAATTCAAAATGTGAACAAATCTAAAAATAATCTGATAATGCGATCGTCTCTGAAGAACAATTATATAGAATATATACAAAATATTTATATATAAAATATATAAAATATATAAAATATATATTTTATATATTATTTATTTAGATAATATAAAATGACAAAAGAAATAAAAAGAAACCGTTTGATACTCTTGTTCCGCGTAAGAGACGGTTCGGAACTTCCATCGAAATAGAAAAAAAAAAAGAGGGGAAAGCCTCTCATGCGTCACTTTCCTGTAAACGCAACGTTCGCATGTCCATTCGTTAAGGCGGATGTAAAGTTCCTTCGGCTTTCTGTTTTATTGTTTACATTAACGATATACAAAATGTACAATGCCATTAAGCATGTGCCATTATATGTGCAATATATAAAATATATATACTTAGAATAAAAAAAGAAGAACGTTACATGGCCTCTTGCTTGCTACTCGAAGAAATAAGGAAAATATATTTATATGGAGGGAAAAGGACGGTAGAGTAAGAGAACAGATTGAAACTAGATAAGAAACATAAGAAAAATAGAAAAGAGCGACAAAAGGTATCCGATTCGTAAGATTCCCCCCCCCCCACCCCCACCCTCTAAATTTCAAGGGACTGCTTCATAGAAATTAAAAATAAATCTCCAGTTCTCTCGCACGAGAGAAATTAAGAGCAAATTTCGCGATTTTAACTCGATCTCAGGAACGTACTCAAATATATATGTACATTAACTTGCGCTCGTATATGCAACATTTAACAAATTTTACAATCAACACGTCTCCCAATGTAACGAGGGAACGCATATCATATACTTGCTTAACACACTTATCGACCGGCCGATATTTCGCGCGGACGACAGCCCGAAAATTCAAAGTTTTGGAAATAGACGCGACATTTTACGAGATAAATGACTGCTGACTGAACATAGGGGACAACTGATAATGTCTGTGCACTTAACTTACAGAGAATCTTTTCTCGTGACAAATTCTTCCTTAGAAGCCGTTTACGCCAACGTCTTCACATTCTAATTTTAGACCGGCCTTTAGTGTGTTGTGACGCACAGCGAAGTGACATTACGACGCTACGAGTTCAATAGCAGTCCATCGAGTTGACGTCATTCTGCTGGTACATCGTCAGTATGTCGTCCAGAATCGACTCGAAGCTGCTGGTGTACGTCTTCAGCCAGCGATTCTTCTCCTCGATGTAAGCGTCGATGTCGCAGTTGAAGATCGCGTGGAGGAAATCCTGGCGCGTCACGGACGAGATGTAACGGAGCGTCTTCTTCTCCTCCTTCTCCTCCTCGTCTATCGTCATCTCGGCGTCCATGTTCATCGAGTTCTTGTAGATGGTCGCGAGCAGATTGGCATCGTTCGCGTCGACGATCTCCTCGATAACGTTCGAGGCGTCTCGAGTTTTCTCGACGCAATTTGACGAGGAAATCGCCGGTGGCTCCTTGATATAGACGGTGTCTATCGTCGCGTTGTGCGGCACCGGCGTCGACGGTTCGTCGAGCTTGTACTTGAGCAGGCAGGTTTTCAGCTTGCCGATTATCGCGGCGGACGCTTTGCACACCTCGAAGTCGCTGTCGTCCTTCAGGGTGACCAGAAGTACCTAAAAGTTCAAGAAAGACCATCAATATTTAGTATTTCTAAAATAAGTATTACAAAATAATATTAATAATAATTATAAAATATAAATAAGATATAATTACAAATATTATAGTATATATTAATAATTTATGAATTATATAAAATCATTGATTCTCATTCAACTGCTTCTGAATTAACAAATTTAAGGACATAAAGCTCGTGAGATCTAACATCAGAGTTCTAATTATTTAACAGTTTACTTACACCTAGGCAACTCTGCCTGGCCAGCTCGTCCAGCGCCTTATTGAGCCTCCGCTTGATTTCTCTTTCGTTCAACGCCACGATCTTCCTGTGCTCTTTAGAAAACGTCACGTTCGGGAACGAGTCGTCGAGCATTCCCTGATCCGTCAAGTGCGACTTGACGAAGTGGTCCCAGAAGGACAACGCGTTCGTCTTCACCTCCCAGTGCAGATCGAACACGGCCGCGACGCACATCGCTCGCAGCATCGAATCGATGACCTCTCTCCTGCGATTTGAACGACACTGATTATCGTACAATTTGTATATAAATTATTAATATATAGATTTAAACAAAAAATTGTACGTACGACCACTTCTGATGAACGTACAGCTCCTTGATTAGATTCACAGCCTCTCTCCTGACTATCGCCTCGCTCTCGTTCTTAAGTAGATAAATCGCCGTTTCCTGTAAAAATTCAATTAACTCATGTAATTCATCTCCTTCAACGATATTCGAGGAGGAATGGAAAAGGAACGAGCAAATATACTCACGGTTAAATCTATTTGCGACAGTTGCCGCTCCCACAGCTTGTTGATGCGTATCATAGTCGCGATGAACGTTAACGCCGACGCTCGCACGTAACTCTCGCCGTCCGTCTTGATGATCTCGACCGCCACTTTAGGAAACTGGTTGTTCAACAGGAAGTCCTGGAACGCCGGATATTCTGCGAAAAAAGATTACGCATATCTCGTGTATGTTTTGTGACACGTTAGTTAAGGTACGTTGTTCCTGGCTGTATATTTATCGAGATAGATAACTGCGAAGCTGCTTGATATCAATCTCAATAGTCTGATTCGCTTACTGTCTTCGGAAATAGTCGCGATGGTGTTGAGAACCTCGAAGGCACTGTCTCTCACCTCCCAGTTGGGGTCGTGCAACCTTTTGAAGAGCGTAGGCCCGATCTCGTTCATGTTGCTGTCCGAGTCCACGAGTAGCGCCAAATTGGGCGGCATAAAGTTGTGGATGGCGAGCTTGCACAGTTTCAACGCCTTCACGCAGATCTGTAACAGAGAGATCAAGACTCGGATCACCGTTTTTTGGGGGGGGAGCTGCTTTTTCAAGTCACGATTATTAACGACTGGATTTTTCTCGCACACGACAATTAGTTCATCGCTCTAACTTCAGCAGGCGATCTTTTACCATCGGTAGTATCCCGGGATGATTGAGAATCTCCTGCGCGAGGGACAGCACGCATATCGTTTCCACGCACTCCTGCCACTTGAGCTTGAATTTCTCCGTCATGACGGCCAGGCCGTCGAGCAGCGACGCCAGTAGAACGGGATACTCGACTATGGGATCACCGTCCAATATCGATTTGTACAGCAATTTCCGCGGATGTTCCGAGGGGGAGGTGCTGTTGACGTTCGACTGCGCGCAATTTATCGTTTGCCCGCACATCCACTTGTCCGGCATGTAACTCTTCAAGACGTGGCACAAGGCCTGGAAAGTGATCACAGCCACGTCCTGAAAAAAAAAAACAGCAAACAATCGCAATTACAATCGCAAAAAAAAATGGATAATTTAATATTTAATTTAATAAATCGGCAATAATTAATCTTCGCAATTAATTCAATTTAATAAATCGGGATGTACACTCACTCTATCCATTATATCTGATATTTCGAGTAGCAGATCGATAGAAACTTTGCAAATCTGCTCCATCGGAAGGTCCCCCTTCCGTATGATGTCCCTCATGTTGTAGGCCAATCTTTGTACAGCGGTGCTCGTCACGTCGAAAATTTTGCCAATGAACATGTCGAAGAGGTCGTGAGTCCACTGATTCTTTTTTATACACACGCACAACGGTAGTATCTGTCGACGAATTGAATTAATAGCAACGGTTTGATTTTAATATTACTGTTCAATCAGATACACGTGCGTATCGAATAGGGCTGGTGATTTGCTTCAAAGCTTCGAAGTTTCGAAAAATACTTTTGTGCAAATTTATTCAAAAAATTTACAAATATTGTAAATTAAAAGAATTAATATATATACGAAATTGTTCCTAAAAAATTTGAAAGTTATAACCTAAAATATTACAAATTAATAATTAAACTTGATAAATGTATAAATAAGGAAAGATAAAGATCAATAAAACAATCCAATTAAGAAAATTTAAATTTTAATGTATTTTTCAAAACTTAGAAACTTCAAAGCTTCGAATATTCGAAGTTAGTAAAAAGTAACAGCCCTAATATGGAATGTAAGGAGCTGCGACACCGACTTACCATTATGGCGATGGCCTGATGCTCGAACTTGTGCTGCTCCGGCAGAACGAACTCGTGTAACGCTTCCAACTTTTTATAGTACGTCATAGAGAACTTGTTGTTCTTCACCAGCTCTATGATGTACTTCTTCGACAGCAGCATCATGGAAATGTAACACAGACCGTAGCAGAACTTGTGGTACATGTTGCTGTCGATCACCGTCGTGTCCTCCTTGATTCCCTGCTTCAGCTTCAGGAACAGCGAGAGCAGCAGCAGCTTCTGCACGTGCTGGAGGAATCGGGTGCTGATGCAGGCCTCGAACAGCGCCTTCACCCGCATCTCCAGGTCCACGAGGCTCTCGATCAGCTCGGGTATGCTGTTGTCGAGACTGGCGAACAGCGTGTTCTCCAGAATGTTGGTCAGCAAGTCCAACGTGGAGCAGAGCAGCTTGTTCTGCTCCAGATACGTCTCCTCCAGCGCCTGGTGCATCTGCACGTCGAAAATGTTGCTCATCAGGGGAGCGGCGACCGCCAATATGATCTCCTTGCACGTCTCAGTGTTCTTCTGCTCGTGCAGCAGCAGCGTCCACAAAAACTTCTGGCTCTCCCTGGTGACGTACATCGTTTGATTCCAGTGCGCGTACTTCACGACGTCCTTCCACACGCCTGTTGCAATGGAGAAAACAGTAATTTCGTTTGTGTAAGCTCTTAATATATATAAATTATATATATATAGCAGCCTTTTTGTATAATCAGCCTTTTTGCAAAAAGGCTAGCCTCTTTGCAAAAAGATGCCTTTTTGCATAACGCCTTCGAAAATGGTTTGGGTTAGTTTTCTTAGCGTTATCCAAAAAGGCGTCGTTTTGCAAAAAGGCTATCCTTTTTGCAAAAAGGCTGATTATACAAAAAACCTGCGACATATATATATATATAAATTACCTATATAATATATATATAAATTTTAATATATTCCTAAATCATTTTACGTTCATTTATATACAGTCTTGGCTAAGTATTCGGCACTTTGTTAACCATTCACGTTTTAATTTAAAAATTGGTCTGTGGCATTTGCCATAAAGTATCCATTTTCTTTCCCAAGATTCCTTTAAACATATAATGCTGTAATCAACGGAAAACAATAAAATTCCAGATAGATGAAAAAATAAAGGTGCCCCTAATATTTTTAGTCAAGGCCGTATGTTTGTAACTCCAAAGTATACATGTTCCAAAAAGTGACGCCTTGATTCTTTTCGCTTTTCAACGCTAGAACCAATGTTTAGCATTAGCATCAAGCAGTTTTGCCTTACCAGACTGTATTACCCACTGCCTGCCGCTACGATGGAGAATCAAGTCCGACAGCATCGTGGTGTATGCCATCTTGACGGACGCGGGCAGATCCTCTCTGTGCAGCTGCAGAATTTTGTAGAGTCGATTGTACACGTCCTGGCACTGCCAGCAGTGATAGCGCAGCTCGTGCCGCGATATGATCCCCACCAGCTTCAGCGTGAACGTAATCACGGGCTGGGAGGCCTTCTGTCCGGACTCCCATATCGCCAGAGCCTTCGGTATCCACTTCTGAAAGACCTCGCAGTATTCGTAGTCGACGGTGGAGCCTGGAAAATTCAGAATGCAAAATTCAGATAGCGAAGAAGTCGGGAGGCAAAGAATTCCGAGCCCCAGCAAACGCAAATTATAGCCGCGACGCTGCAGCGTTCCGGCGCTGCATATTGCAGAAGTATTACAATGTCGCTGGAATATTGTGGTTATACTCTGTGTTTGCTGGGCCACGAAAGCATCACAGGCGCATCAAAGCGACAAAGTCCTCCCCTTACATTCTCTCGTGTTCTCCGCAATGTGGGTGAGCAGATGGTCCAGGTAGGTCGTCGAGACGACGTTGTAGTCCGGCAGCAGGAACAGGTCCAGGACCTTCGCCAGGATCTCCTCGCTCCTACCTCTGCACGAGTTCATCGTGACGCGACGTTGTTGGCGATCTCTCGACGGTAGCCGACAATGCACTCCGCTCCGATCGCGGCGAGAAAAATCGGCACGGATGCTGCGCAGCCGAACGGCAACGAATTTTAAGTTACATTCTGCAAAACGACGACTGCTGATAACACCGTTGACAAGATGAAAAATTTGCGGGAGACTGATAAGCCACCATTTTGGGAAAATCGGGAGAAACCTGAGAGATTTTATCGACTCACGACATTCGTCAGCGCGACGGCGAGCGGTCCTCGGCCATTTCCTCAGCAGGCGCAGCCACGGACGGGGGGCATTTTTTGACACATCGTGAAACCGCCTGATCGTCGAAGCACGTGCACAGTGCTGATCCGAGACACGGGTTGGGAATCCAAAAATAGGGTTCGTTTCCGCGCTTAGCCAAGTTGGACGTCGCGTCGATAATGCAGGTTCCTGCAGCCGGATCGTGTTAATTACGTCGCAAACGCGGCGCGGCCTCGAATCGACGGCACGTCAGATTTCCGCGTTTACCGACACGGGCATCTCCGTCGAGCGGCGCGAATTTTACAACCATGCGAGAAGCACTGCTCTTGCAAACAGCGATCATGTGATTACATAATTACATCACACATTGCATAATTATGCGAGGCGTGTGGATCGCGCGAAAGGGCAGGCGAACAGCGTGTAATAGCAAAAACGTGACTGTATTTCATAAAAGCTTGAGTAAAATACATACTATGTAGCTGTGAAGCATATCTGCGTATAATTACAATTATTCGATAAGAATCATCTTTTATATCATAAAATTCTATACCATTATACGACCATTTTATACCGAACGATATATATATATGTATATATATGTATATACACACGTATTTTTTTTTTTTTTATATATAAACACCGTTCGATACAATTACATAATAAACAACGCTTTGACCTGATTCTCATATATCGTTTATGTATAATACACCTGTTATAAACAAGGGTTTCTCTCAGGGCACGTAACGTCAGTCACCTTGCATTACACGAGATCGGAGGAGAAAAGAAACTGCGGCGAAGCCGCAAATCCGCTCCTGCGCGGACGTCGAATATTCGATAAATTTCACAATAGCACAATTAGTAAATCACACAATTAGTGACGAGAGATCGATCTCATATATATATATATACATATATATATATATATATATATATATATATATATATATCCTAAAGATCTCCATTTTCATCGAAGACCCTTGATGACATTAAGGATCTTCGATGAACAAGAGAAAAAGGAAAGAAAAAACGGAGGAGATCCTTCGGTACCGACCTCTCTGACCAAACGTTTCTCTCTCCAAAAGTTTTCAAGAGCCGAGCTTTCGCAATTTTTCGCAGCCTGGAACGAAGGGACTTCATTTCTCCCAGACTTCGAAAGTCAGGCCACGTCGAGGAGATGCACCTCGAAGAGCCTTGAAACAAGAGAGAACATACAGGAGTATCTATAAATTTCCAAGTTTTACAACTAGGGATATCGAGATTTCAGAGAGTCTGAGGCTCCAAGCTACCGAAATTTGAGAAGCGTCCGACTTCACGAACGTCCTAAATCAGAACAATCGACTCCCAAGGTCTTCGGTGTAACGCAACAGATAACGGATCAACGCAATGTATATCGCTGGTACGAAAAAGAAAACGATCAGGAAGCGAACTCTTTGAACTGCAAGATCTGTCTCACGCTCGACACTAGACCAGACCTCGATAGGCCTCCTCCTCCCGGCTCTCGGCGCGTTCAAAATTTCCAAATTCCGCAAAACTGTTCCTAAGCAAAATTATCCTAAGGCTATAAGAGACCTTTCCAAGATCTACGGGATAAAAGTTTCTTGAGGCGCTTCCTACTTATTAGCGATCCAAGATTTCAAAATCCAAAGAGTCTAAGAGCGGAAACGTCCGAGAGCATAGGAAGCTACTGATTTGAAAACACGAAAATTGTTTAGATCCTTTTTTTTTTACATGCATTTCTTAAGTTAATCAGAGCTTAAAAATATTGTGTGAACACTTACACTTTTATGGATTTATTACCATTGATCGTTGAACAAAAATATTTACTTCAAGTATTGTGTGTGTGTGTGTGTGTGTGTGTGTGTGTGTGTGTGTTTGATTTGTATGTGTAGATTGATAGACACTTAGATATACTTAAGCGTTTAGAGCGTAGACTCTTTTTAGCTTCGCAAGTCTGTTTTAGATTCTCAGATCGTTGGACTGTTGAAGCCTTGGAACTTTAGGGCCTTGAATTGTCATGATTCCCTCCCCCCCTCTCTCTCTCTCTCTCACACACGATTCATCAATTTTCGAAGTTTCTCAGATACCGAAGTCTCCGCGATCGCTCCGAGATCTCCCTGATGGAGTCTCATCATTTCAATTGATTGCGCATTCTAACGTCAGACAACATCCCCCCCTTCTTCCCCTCGAAGGAACTAACGAAAAACCTCTCCTCTAGAGTTATGCTTCCGCCTCTACCCCAGTACTGCGTGCGCTAATTGGATTACTCAGGCTCAAAGCTAAAACAAATGCAATACCTGTTAGATCGTGTGTGAACACCGCGCGACCACTACACCCTAATTACTTTCGTTTTTTTTTTTTTTTTACGTTCTTAAACGCACAGTAAGATTACAGATAATATCGCAAATATCGCCGTGTATGGTTGTCCGTCCAGCGTTTCGCGTTTCAAATATTTAATGCTATTGATTACTTGGAACATGGAAGCAACATGTCAATGTTTCATTTTTTTTTCTTTTACCATTTTTTTTTGTTTTCGCTTATGTAGAACACTCAAAATGATATTAATTACGTAGTACGCGATAAGGAGCTCGGTCTGAATGATTACTTCAGGCATCATGCAAGAGGAATCATCGAAGAAACGGGATGTCGAGAAGGACCATCCCGAGCGAACCGAGAGGCGAGACGTTTTCGCGCGCGACTGTGTTGTTTTAATTATATATATATATATATATATATATATATAAATTTAAAACAATGATATATATATATATATATGTATATATATATACCTGCCCATTCAGATCGAAATAATTAAGTCTCTCTTTCTCTCTGTCTCTCTCTTAGCCGTAGCCCGTGTGTTACACATTAGAGCTGAAGTAGCAGTTAACAAACGGAAACATCCGAGAAGAAAAAGCGCCGACGGCGGTGTCTCAAGACCGAAGCGCGGGTCGACTTCCTCGCGTATCTCTTAGCTGGAAACGCACCGTTTAGAGAAGTACCTTGCGCACGACTATATGTAAAAGGGGTTTTTTTTTCTGCGGGAGAGAGCCCTCTCCGCGACTTGGCGACTTATGTTTTCGCGATGTCCATCGGTGATCCCGGATGGGGCGCGGCGACGGGGTTCGCCGTGGGATTCGGGACGATGGCCGGCGGTCCGCCGGGGCTCACGATGGTGGGCGGGATCGCCGGCTTGACGAAACGATCCGAGGTGCGTCTGCTGGATGGTGCCACGATGTGTCCCTGTTTCAACAGACGTTCGCGGGCACAGATAAAAATAAAGCCATCGTTTCATCAGAAGGCATTTTCATCGAGCATCACAATCGTCAAGCTGGATATCAATTGAAAAAAAGTTGTCTCATGATTTAAAAAATCCTTTATAACATACAGACGAGAGAGAGAGATTCCGCGTATAGTAAACATAAGGCCCCACAAATTGACATAAACATTTTTTATCTAACGAAAAAAAACTAGAAATTTTGAGAAATAATAAACATTTTTAATTTTAATTCTTTGTTAAGTCTTTTACCGCCTTTTCCAAGACTAAAGCATCGCCACAAATTCACAGAAACGTTCCATATCTAACGAATGATCAATTAATTTCCAGCAGTGAGCAGCGATTCTCGGCGTAATAACTTACCCCTGAGGGAGGCGACGAGCTCGCGTACGGAGGGGGAGTCGGCTGGCCGCAGGCGTAGCACCGGTTTGCGCTGAAGCCCTCTCTGGACGTGGAACCTAGCACGTTAACACCTGATAATAAAACGCGCATAATCTTCACATAAATCCGCTAAACACGAAACATGCATCCCGGAGAGAAAACATCAATTCTATTTTTATTAAGTTTCAATACACTGGCACGTCTCTATTGAACCATTTCTTCGCACTTTTTCTGTCTGTACGAATCTTGTCGAAACTCACCGGGACTTAGTGGCCTCGAGGAACTAGGCGAAGGATTGTAGGGCACAGGACTGGACACCGTGCGGGTCCTTATGTTCCCCCCTGACATGACGATTTCGTTGTAGTGCCGTTCCTCCTCCATCTCCAAGCTGCGAAAATCATGTCTGTGAGATTAGGAACAATAAATATCTTTCGATTCTAAGATCTCGAGTCTAAGTTCAAATTTATACAGCTTAGCGTATAATAATAATAAAAATAACAGTTTCAAAATATTATACAGCCTTGATCGTAAGTATAAGGCACCCCCACAAATTGACGTAAACGTTTCATGTCTAACGAAAACAAACTGAAAAATAATATATATATTTTTATCACATTTTATTAGTCATTTGATTCTTATTACCGCCTTTTCCAAGAAAATGCAATAAAGTAACATCACGAATTGACATAAACATTCCATATATAACTAAAAATAAACTAAAAACAAATTTTATTGATAAATAAAATATATTTTTATAACAATTTTAATATTTTGTTTGCCTTTTGGTTTTTATCATCTTATTTCAAGAAAATACAATAAAGCATCATCATAAATTGACAGAAACATTCCATTATCTAGCGAAAAATACATTAAAAAACCATTTTATTAAAAAATAATATATATTTTTATAACAATTTTAATGTGTTGTTAGTCTTTTGGTTCTTATTATCACCTCTTTTTCAAGAAAATACAATAAAACATCATTGTAAATTGACATAAATGTACCATATCTAACGAAAAATAAGTTAAAAAATAATTTTACTGAAAAATAATATATATTTTTATAACAGTTTTAATATCTTATTTCTTTTGGCTTTTATTATCGGTTTTTTCAAAAAAAATGCATTAAATTGAGGGTGCTTCACACCACTTATGCCAAAGCTATACAATAAGCAACTAGCACAAAACTTGACACCGACCTGGACTCAGACTCGGAGAGGTGTCTGCACAAGGCCTCGCGACGCTCCACCTCCAGCTGCAGCTTCCTCTGCAGTCTCAGATTCTCCTCGCGTATCTGCTTCTCTTCGTTAACGTACCGCTTCATCTTTTCCGTATCTGGAAACGATCACAATGGGCGGATTTTAGGAGAAACGTGAACTCGACGAAAACCCTTTCGAGTATATATACGGATTCGAGAAACGGGGTATAAGCGTCCTTACGTTCCTGCTGCGAGATCAGCAAGGTGTGCTTCAGTCGGGCGACCTCGCTTCGCAGCGTCTGAATGTGCGTGCTCAGATTGGTGGCGGTGTCGCCGTTGTTGATCTCCCTGGGCGAGGTGGGGTCCGAGACGGGCTGGTCCAGCTTGATCTGCAGCATCCTCTTCTCGGCCTCGAGCTTGTCCATTCGCTTCCACAGCTTGTTCACCAGCGCCTCCTGCTCCTGCTCCAGGGTGTTCTCCAGCTCGACCTTCTCGCGCCGCAGCTGCTCCAGGTTGCTCTGCTTGGCCAGCGTCTCCGCCTCCAGCTTCTCGATCTTCCGCATCAGCTTGTTCACCAGGCACTCCTGCTCCTGCTCCAGCGTCTGCTCGAGCTTGCACTTCTCCTGCCGCAGCTGGTTCAGCTTCCGCGACAGGTCGTTGGTGAGGCACTCCTCCTCCTGCTCGTAGTGGTGCGCCAGGGTCTCCTTCTCCTTCTTCAGGGCCTGGATCTTCTTCAGCAGGGTGTTGCTTATGAATTCCTCCTCCTGCTCGGCCTTCGCTTGCTGCAAACACAAAGAGAATGTCAAACGTGAGAGACGCCTCTCGCTTTCGCTTTCCGCAGATACGGGGAATACAGAGTGGAGAGACAGCCGGTGTCTCTCGATTAACGATTTCAAACAGATCGGACTCGTCTCTCGTGGATTATCCAGGTAGGTAGTACAATCCTACTGGGGTGTTGCGTTAATTAAAAAAATATAGATAAAGTCCGCGTAGGGGACTGAGAAAACAAGACAGAATCGACTCTCACTATGATGACAGACGCCTGGCGCAGGCCGCGGTTCTCCTCCTGCAGCGCCTTCACCCGCAGCTTGTACGTCTCGAGCTCGACCTTGAGCACGCGGTTGTGCTGCTGCAGGGAGTCGATGCGCTTCTGCAGCTGCTCGCGCGTGACCGGCGACGGCGGCATCATGATCGGCCCGCCGTCGATCGAGCTGGAGTCGCTCTCGGACGCGCTATCGCGATCGGCCATGTTTCTCGCACGCGGATAAACGACGACGACAACCAACGGCAACAGCGACGGCGACGGCGACGACGGTCGCGACGACGACGGGAGGTGGGGCGGGTGGGACGAGGGGGGGGGTGGGGAGTAAGGAATGTAACGCCGGTTATCGCCGGCCGCTGCTCATCGCAACCGGGAGACGGAGGCGCCCAGCGTGTGCGTGTCGCCGGCGTGTGTCTGTCCACGCGCGCACGTGTGTCCTCCTCCGATTCCGCGTCCGACCGCCTCCTCTCGCTCGCCGAGCCCTGGAGCAGCGGAGCGGAGCAACCGCGTCGGGGGAGTTAGGCGCGTCGTGGATCAACCGCGGCACGGCCGGACGGACATGTGTTACGCGGAGGAACGGTGCCGCAGAAAACGGTATCAGCTGTTCACGCCGCACTGCTCGCTCCTCGCCGAAGTGTGTGGCCGACTGTTACTGTTTTTCGCGAGCGCGAAAGTGGCGCGGCGCGTTTCCGCGAGCGGGGTGTCGTGTCGTCGCGCGCGCGCGACCGTGATTCGCCGCGCGCGGCCGACCGCGGTGACACCTGGCGGTGGGGGCGGACGTGCGCCGACACATGCGCACGAACCATAAGGGTTAGGTTGACTCTAGGGAATTATGGAATGTAGTCCGCAGCTGGTGACTCGTCGGACGTGGGTCTCGCGTGGGCACGTGGGTCACGTTCCCTCGTGGCTGGAAGGGTTGCGGTGGCCGGTCCGATGGTTGCGAGTCACGGTTTGTTTGACGAGGAAATTTAAACGGCCGCGAAGATGAGCGACGCGGAAGGAGATGAGAATTTATGCGATAGCGATCAGGAAGTTTCCAAAAATCATTCGAAGCTTATCGAGGCTGTGACGCGGCTCGATAAGACGCAAAGGTAAGAAATTAACGACGAGGTTCACAGAGTGCCCTTAGATTTAGAAGATTCCGCCGTTGCTTTTCTTGTATATTCTCACTTGTATCTTCCCCACGTTAGAGTGAAAAAGGCAGAACGAAGCGAGCCCAGTTTAGAGGTGTCCGAGTATCATCTTGTGAAAAGCGGTGTAACAGACGAGGATGCGATATGCGTGCGAGATCTGATCAAGTCGTTGGAGCGAAAAGGTGATCAGAGCAATATCGTTAAGAAGCTTCGATACCTTCAGCAAAAGAACAAAGTACTTCCCAAGCCATTGGAGAAACCAGCAGCTGAAAGGGTAAATTGATCTAATAATTTAAATTAATTTCCTTAATTAAATTTGATTAAAATCAGATGAGAAGGGCTAAACTGAATAAATATTAAATTTGATTACGTTATAAAATAAGAAATAATTTTGAGACTCAAGCAAGGCTTATTTGCTATTATTTATTTTAATTATCTTCATACTTTTTGTCAGACTAAAAATTGATATTTGATACCTCTTTGCTAAGAAATTGATTAATTTTTAATATAAATTTCGATGTTTTTAGATCTAGTTAATCTCTGTAATGATAATTTTTTTGTCTTATGTTAAAAAAGTCTTAAGTAAAAAATGAGTAAGAAATTATGAAGAAATTACAAATTAATAAATATCAATTCTTTTTCATAATTACCTATTTTTTGTCTAATTTATTTTTGCCTATTTATTTCTATGGTTGTAAATTCTGGTAACAGAATTCACCTGCGTGTCATGTCTTGTATAAATAAAGCAAAAGGAATAAGAAACTTAAGAGACTGAATCTCTTGCAGATAAAAAGGACAGTTGGTTATGACAAGGTTAAGGACGAGTTGCAAAAATGGGACAGTGTAGTAACTAGGAACAGAACGGCAGAACAGTTGTCCTTCCCGTTGAAACGCGTAGATCCGGTGGTGGATTCTCACAATTCGAAGATACCTGCGTTTCTACGGGGGTTCAGTACGAAATCTGATTTGATGAAGAAGTTCGAGGAAGTGGATCCGACGTTGCTCCACCCTCCCGACAAGGAAGAGGAGAAGGGCAATAAGTACAAAATGACACTGGAGGAGATAACCTTGAGACGGAAGGAGGCTGCCAGGCTCAGAGCGCAACAGGTATGGAAAAATTGTGGTGTGATTATTAAACAATTATACAAGATAACTGAATGAAAGAACTGAACACTAAAGTGACTAAAGAAAATAAGAAACAGACTTAATGAAAAGTTACTTATAACTTCTTTGCGCTTTCAGTCATATCAAGAGGCGAAGGCGCATCGTCTGCGTAAGATAAAGAGCAAGAAGTTCCATCGCATTCTGCGGAAGGACAAGATCAAGCAGCAGCTAAAGGATTTCGAGAAGTTGAAGGATAGTAATCCAGAGGAGGCGCTGGCGAAGTTGGAGCAGTTGGACAAGACTCGTGCTGAAGAGAGGATGTCGTTGAGGCATAAGAACACAGGCCAGTGGGCCAGAAATAAGCAGATCAAAGCCAAATATAATAAGGAAGTGAGTGTTACTTTGATTATTTAAAAAATTTTTTCCATTTTCAATTAGAAATTATTCCAATGAAAAATATACATCCTAAATATCTTTCGGAGATAAATAAATATTACAAACATCGGGATATTGAAAATATTTGAATGATTAAGGACAAAAAATATATGCCGAATTCTTTTTTGTTGTTAGACACGACAGGTACTTGCTGAACAGTTGGCCATTAGTAAGGAATTGACGCAAAAAGTTAAGAGAATTGACAGCGATGAAGAAGAGGATGAGGAGGACGAAGGAAATATGGAGGATGTGGAAGATAAGGAATATAAAAAAGCTAGTGAGGAAAGAAACGAGTTAAGCAATAAGAGCAGCAACGTAAAAACTGAGCCTGAAATTGATGAATTCCTCAAGCTTTGTCGGAGTTATTACGACAAGAAACAACAGACGAACGGAAAGCAAATAGAAAAAAACGGAACTTTGGATGAGATTATTCCGGAAGAAGAAATAGAGACATCGTGTGATCGCGATGACAAGAGTGGTACTTCACAAGCGGATACGAAAACTAAACTCGGCAGTGTTGAGAAAAATAGTACTTTGCGGGCAAATACAAGTGATACGAAAAGTAAATTACGCGACAATCAGAAAAGCAGTGCTTCGCAAAAAAATACAGGGAACACGAAAAGTAAATTATGTGACAACGAGGAAGGCGATGCTTCACGGGCAAATGCAAATGATGCAAAGAGCGAATCCTGCAGCAAGAAGAAAAGCAATATTTCATTAACAAATACAGATGAGATGAAAGATAAAATTCCTAAAGGAAAAAAGAATAAAGGAAAAACGAAGAATAAAGAAAGTCCCGTCGACGTTTGCGAGAAATCGAAACAACATTCTGATTGCAAGATTAATAAAAAGTCTGCATCACAAGATATAAAAAAAACGTCTAATTCCAAGGGCCCGAAGAAGGAAAATACAAAACGTAAACTGAATCAGCAGGTGCAGAAAGTGAAGAAGAAATTCAAGGCAAATAAGACGGAAAAGGCTGAAGAGGTAGAGGAGGAGACTGAAGATTATTCGCCAAGTCTCGAATTCGAAAATCCCAAACGGAAACCAATTCTGGATTCTCCGTTGGACGAAACGACTTCCGGCGAGAACGCACGTAAGGATAGCGATCTGACGAGATTGAAGGCGATAGCGAATTCGGTGCAGGAACCAGCCGGCACCGGCCACGAGGTGGAGATAGATCCGAAGAAGTACGTGAACATAAAACCCAAACATTTGAAGACGCAGCTGCCGGATGTGGCCACGTACGGGGATGAGGATAGCGAACAGGAGGAGGAGACGCACAGAATAATGAGCGAGGCGTTCGCGGACGACGACGTTGTCGAGGAATTCAGGAAGGAGAAGGAAGAGGAGGTATGTAATAAAAAGTAGTGCAAAACGAGGACTATAAGCGCAAATGCGTAATAATGGTTTTTATTCGCATTACTTGATTAAATAATTAATTCGTTGAACGTTTCGTTGAACTCCATTTTGAGTTATCTTCAGCAATAATCACGAAATAATTAACCGTTCCCAGAACCAGAAGTGAGCATCTTTCCACTTATCAAATCTACTTTATACTTAACAATCTTTAAAACTTAAAGTTAATCCAATTGACCAAGTGATGTGAACAAATGGAGCCAATTTGCTCCATTTGTCACGCCTCCACTCTCAGTTCTCGTTTTACACTTTACTTTTTATTAACAATTCGAGATTCTAAGTGAAATTTTTCTTACATAATATTAGTACTTTTTTTTCTTACATAATAAAAACTTTAAATGAAAATTGTATTTCTCTTGTATTTGTATAGAAATGCTCATAAAGTGCCGCATTGCATTCTGAAAACATCAATTTTGTTAAATTTGAGGCAGATTATTAATGAATATTGAATTGCATTGCATTTTCTCTATAAAAACTGTCATAATAATCTAATGCAAAATTATTCTAGATGGAAAAGTCGCAGCCGCAGAATATTGATCTGAGCCTACCCGGATGGGGAAGCTGGGGCGGATCGAACATCAAGAAGAGTAAGGTGGCTCGTAAGAAGAGCCGATTTATATTGACCGTTCCCAAGGAAAAGCCGCGTAAGCCCGAAAACCAGGGGAAAGTCATAGTGTTCGAGCACGAGAACGAGAAGTTGAAGAAGCATCTCGTCAGGGAGCTACCCTATCCGTTTACCAGGGTTAAGGACTTCGAAGCGACCATCAGAGCTCCCATCAGCAGGACCTTCGTCCCAATGAACGCCCATGTGCGACTCATTCAGCCGGCAGTGAAGACCAAGCTCGGACAAGTGATCGAGCCGATGGATGAGAGTGAGTTGGTGAAGAAGGAGTCAATGATGAAGATACCGCTAAAACGTAATAATGCAAAAAATGATAATAAAAGGAAAAATGATAAGAAGAATGATAAGAAAAATGCGGTAAAGAAAACTATTGCAAAAAGAAATAACAAAAAGAGACGTAATCAGAATGTACAGAATAAAAATACAAAATAAAAGAAATTCTAATTTACTAAGTCTTAGTATATAAAATTATTTTGAAATTATACTGATTAATGGACTAGTTATTAATTTATTATTTAACATTTATTTTATAATTCTAATATGCAATCGTATATACAATTGTTTGGAAATTATTTATTATAATGGACTAGTTTATTATTTAACGTTTACTTTATAATTCTAATATGCAATTATAGTATATACAATTATTTGGAAATTATTTATTAATGGATTAGTTATTAATTTATTATTTAATATTTATTTATAGCTGTAGTTATGCCGAAAAAATAATAGCAAAATATTTTTGTTATAAAAGAAATACATTTAATTGCGTTTATCGAGTGAAGGCACCGACGTGACCGCGATCACATATCGTTTCGCGGCGCGTTTCACGATGCGGCGCGCGCGCGTCGGCGACCGGCGGATGGGGATTAGTTCCGTCCTGCGCCGTTCGCGGCGCCACGCTGCAGAAGCTCGCGAGCCGTGCAGCGTGCGGGAGCACGCGGCGCAGCGCGGCGGTTGGCTGGCGGTGGCGGCGATGACGACGACGGCGGCGGCGGCGACGGCGGTGGCGGCGGCGGCGGCGCAGCATGCCTGGCAGCACCGGCGACCATCCGTCCGTCAATCAGTCAATCGGTGTGCCTCTGGCGTGGTCAGTGTGTCAGTCAGTCTACGAGCGCGCGTCACCGGGAGTAGTGGTGCTTCGGGGCCGACTCTCTCGACGCTCCCCGTGTGTTATTCACCGCACATTTCAAGCCGATCGACGGCGAGGATCAGCGATCGCGAGCCGCGACAGAGAGATAGCAGAGGGAGGCGGGAGAGATACGTGAATCACACAATTGCGTGCCGCTTTTCGCAAATTTCGGGCCGAGGAACCGAGCCGCGAGGCGAGAAAGAGAGAGAGAGAAAGAGAGGGAGAGAAGGAGAGAGAGAGAGAAGAGACAGAGACGACGACGACGACGACGGCGACGAGGATGGCGGACACCAAGGACGACTGCGCCGACAACGTGCAGTTCTTCGAAGGCGTTGAGAAGCTCCTCGAGATCTGGTTCACCAGCTCCAAGGGCCTCAAGCAGCATCAGGGTGATCTGCGGCAGATACCACGGTAAGTACGCCGCCCGCCGGCGTCTCGCTACTCGCCTCCGACACGACCTCCTCCTCCTCCGCCTCCTCCACCACCGCCACCACCACCACCTCCTCCTCCTCCACCACCTTCTCCTCCTCCCCGCGGGAACGATGACAGTCGACGCCGGCCAGGCCAGGACGGACGGTGACGAGCCGCGCCGGCGTCGACCGTTGGGTGCTCGTAGGCTGGTGCAGGACTGATCGTTCACGTCGGCTCCCGGTCGATTTTCTTAACTCACGAGCGTGTCGCACGTATTTTTCCCTCGGACGGGTTTCCCCCGAAAACGAGCGCCGAATTGTGGCACCGCGAGACTCGCCGTCGCGCCGCACCACCTACGAGGCCAGGTGTGCGCCGCGATTGACTCGCGCTTCGCGAGGAGGTTGCGCCTCGTGACACGGTGCGACGGTCACGGGGAAAGTTAGATCTCGCGAGAGGAGAGTTTAATTAGTTAATACTCTTCTGAGGATACCTCTCGTCCGCGGTGGTTTATTGTAATTACAAAGAACGTAGGAAAGCAAGAATGTTCACGAAAAGTAACTCGGCGAAAAGAAACGGAAGAAAAAAAATGAGAGGAACTCTCTCTTTCTCTCTCTGCAAATGATCTGTCAAAAGACATCGAGATGTCTCTCTTAATACTTGAAAACGTCACTTCTTGGAGTGAAGTCATCCCTTCCCAAAAATCAGCTCGAGTTTGCCGTTAAGTCCGGGATAGTTTCGGGGCGCCTATTTCGAAGCACGTTCGCGAGCATGCGGAGACACCCCGCGTGAGGAAAACAATACCGCTTCTGTTGATATCAGACTATGTATCGGCATCGATGAGTCCTCTCCCCTCGATCCTTTGAATTTGTCAACATCTCAACGTCATCCGGTCTCGACGATCCCGGGGATCTTTGACGTTTGGTATCCTGTATCATGTAACTTTTTCCTCATAGGACGGAAACGTGAGAGAACGGGAAATTTTTGCCGTTGAAGATAATGGAAAAAAGTTGAGGCGAAAAAGATTTTCTCACGTTTCCACCCTCCGGGGAGGAAAGAAGTACGCGATTGCTGTTAGACGGGGTTTACATAGAGACGTAGACGTAGACGTAAGAAACTGGGAAGATATGAATGGATAAGGAAAGATAAGAATGGCGAGTTATCTCTATCGTGATTGGCTGGACGTAGAAAAATATCAAAATTTTAATATTCTACGTCCTACGTCTACGTCTCTATTGTCTATTTCTACCAAGATAGATTAACGTATCTTTTTCTACTTTTAAGAATTAGAACAAGATGAAAAGTAAATAAAACCGTGATTAAAGTTAATCTACCTTGGTAGAAATTAACATATGTAAATCGCGCTTTACTCCGCGCGCGTGAGAAAAATTCGGACGGTCGAAACGTTTGAAGCGCTCAAGGTAATTAGCGATAAAAGATAAGAGCATTGTCGCTTTGTGCTCAAGCTGTATTCACACACGCGCGCGCGCGCGCGCGGCGCGGCGCGATCACGTTAGACAATTACGTAACCCGCGCGCAATCCGCCGCGATTTGTTGTGTGTAGGATATAGCCGTTGTGTTTACGCGCGCAACGTGTCAGGGTGTCGTTGAACCGGCTCCGAGATGCGCCTACCGGGGGTAAGGCCGGCCGACGGCCGACTACTTGTTTTATTTTTGCATATCGCGCGGCGACAATAAATTTAGAAGCCTACCCACTGTGCGCGCCGGCCGATGAGGAAGCGCGCGGCGCGGTGCGACGCGCCGCGCGAGAATGCCGATCCGCGAGAGGGGATCCCGTTGATACACATGTATAGTGAAATTCGTGAATCCCCTCGTCGAGTCTCTCGCGTGGAAAGTTCTCTGAATGGCAGGTCTCTCGAACACAAACGACATAATAAAAAAGAAAAAAAAATTACGTTATCGCATTCGTTGCGGGAGATAAGTCATTTTCTCGTTACAGAGATTAGGGGTCAGTTTTATCCAGCTTCGATTAACTTATAACTGGCCGATTATTCCATTAGAATTGACCAGTCGCATTTGTCGTTAACTGACTGAAATTGATTGCGGCTGACACTTACAAATCGGTCAGTTCAGTCGAATCGAAGATGGTGAAATTGGCCTTAGGATAATCAAACATCAAACTGCTTTTTTGCTGTAATGAATGATAACATAAAAGATAATGTCTTTCGCGTAAATATATATGATTGAAGAATCGCTCTCTTATAAATCTTTCGATTTCAATGATTTCTTTCTAAATTATTAAGACACCATTATGATATTAAATAATTAGCGAAAGAGTTTGAGTTTGATAAACTTCGGAGATCGATTTCACCATAGATTATTTTTTTTTTTTTTTTTTAAGAAAGTAATGATAGTTTGGCGATAAATACGAGAAATTTATCAAGCCTAGTCGAATAGTGAATAATACAGTAAAAAAATTTATCGAGTTATATAGTTTGAAAAGACGTCTGTTAAATTTTTGAGTACGATAAGAATGGAAGAGAAGAAGTGTTTAAACGAATTTTTGTAACTTGCATTTTACTGACGGCGTGCAAAAATTAGCATTCTGGTAACACGTGACAGTTTTTGAACGATTTCCTTGAAATTTTTAAAGACACGTGACACGTGACGTGCGACACGGTGATTCGTACCAATTTTGAATCAATTCAGACAATCGATCTACCGCTGTCGCCTAACCGATAAATCCCTGTTCTTTTTACAGACAAAAGTGGGAATCGTTGTTGAAGATAGTCCGTTGCGAGATCATCAGCTTTTGCCGTAATGATCAAGTGGACGCCTACGTCCTGAGGTAAGTCGGTTTCGTTTGAACATGAAATTGATGAAAGTCGCACTCAGGTAGGCCGACCCGACCCCTCCACCCCCCCCCC